TCTTCCATATTTTCTCTGTCAAAGACCCGAAGTCCATTTGACTTTTCAAACTGAGAATTCTGCCATGCGAACACAAAGGTCCAGTTTCCCCTTACCCCCCTGTGAGCATCTTACCGTTGGAGGTGGTGGTCTAGGGCCTCTTCTTCAGCACTCAGCAGAGTTGCTGCACGGGTCAGGAGCTGATGGCTGCAGTTTACGGATTTGAGCTCCAAGATGAAGAGTCCCAAGCAGAACATGGCTCCCATCTCCTCTAGTTCACCAGTGCCAAACTGTAGACCCTGCCAGTTAAACAAAGCAGTCCACCGTGAGTAAGGGAAACTCTGTGATGGAGTGGTGACAATTTGACACAGGGAGGAAGGACTTCTAGGTACATGCCTATCACGGAAATGGAGAATTAATAGTGTCTGCCAGTCACTGTCCAATGCTTTTCTGTATGTGTCTTGTGGATTGATGGTCCCAAGTCACTGTTATGTGGACATCCAGTGTTTCTCCAGAAGTACGATCATGATAATAATCAGCTAGTTGGGGTAAGACCTGCACATGTGTCTGAGTTTCAAGCCACTAGGTCCAGGATTTGAACTGCAGTCTGCCATGTGAGAGTCCAGTGCCCTAACCTCTATGCCACCTGCTTCTGTGTATATTTTAAAAAGAGAGTTCACTACTGAAACAAAAATCCATAAGCAATCTTACTAAATGATACCATTTCTTTCCTCTAAATTTATCAACCAATGAGGAAGAGTAAGGAAATGTCTTCATATATAAATACTAATACTTTAAAAAAAATTAAGAACTATGGCTATCTGTTTAGCTACACTGAGATAACACATGAAAGCAAAGCCAAGACATGTACTCTATGGTATGATCCATAAGTAAAACAGACCATATTAATTAACAAAGCTTTATTGAGAGGACAAGCAGATGGCATAGTGGTTACATTGCTGGACTTCCACATAGCCAATTGTGGTTCAAGTTCTGGACTTATTGGCATCAAACTCATGCCAGGTGTGTGTGTGTGAGCATGCCCATGATCCCAGGAGAAGAAGGGATTGTAGTATGGCCATAGCCCCGGGGGAGGGGTGTTTTCTCACTTCCTATCTCTCTGTCTCTGTCTCTCCAGCAAGTGCACATACTCTATAGCAAAAATCTTTATAAACAACAAAAAACTATAGAGCACCTACTGTGTGCAAGTCAATTCTGAGCTCTCTCACATACAATAACTCAGCGAATCCTAACCCAAGCCCTGTAAGGTAGATATTGCTATTTTCTTTGTTCCACCAGTAAGAAGATTCAGATATATAAAACCAAGTAACTTACTCAAAACCTAACAGCTACTAAGAACCAGTAGGTGAATTCTGACCTGACTGCTCAACATAAAATTCTAAGCATAGACTGGAGGGACACTAGCATATGGTGAAGTAGAAAATACAAAGTATGTGGTTTTTGAAATTATATGAGAATAGAATAGAATAGAAACTAGTTACACTAGTTTCTGACTGTGATCTGAGGCTTAGCAAATTCGATTTGCCTTAATTTTTTTCATCTGCAAAAACACCTAAGCATCTAGTAATAAATATTTCAAGGGACAGCAGGTGGCATAATGGTTACGTCACTGGACTCCCACATAGTAGACTGCAGTTCGAGTCCTGGATCTGGTAGCTTGAAACTCAAGCTGGGTGCATGTGTGTGTGTGTGTGCCCAAAATGCTGAGAGGAGACTAGAAGAGAAGGGATTGCAGCATGGCTATTCCCCTGGTGGGGAGAGGGTGTTGATTTCTTGCTCTCTGGTGAGCGTGCACACCAGAAAGAAAAAAAAAAAAACTCTAAAAAAGAAATATTTCAATATCCCCATAATATTGACCAATATTAGCCTGTTCTTTTTCTTTCTTTTTCTCTTTCTAGAAAATTTGTTGAACGTAATGGGACTCAATGTGGTCCTAGAATCCTCATGCTTCTAAACTACAACTTGCCTAAATAAAAAATAGCACTTGATAATATTCTTTGCTATAAGGGTACATGAACTTTAAATAAAAAATAGCACTTGATAATATTCTTTTTTATAAGGGTACATGCACTTGAGAGAGAGAGAGAGAGAGAAAGCAGTCAGTCCCCAGGGAGGACAGCGACACCTCAGTCCATTCTCCTCTGGGGATTTTGGGCATGCACACATTTTGCCAGCCTGTTTCTCAGGTTACTGGGTCCGGGAATTGAACTCTAAAGTTGGTCGTATGGGATCCAGTACCTTAATCACCATGCTACCAACTGGCCCTTGATTATGATGGTTATTTTTAAAGTTTTTAGTGACTGGCTTCATAGTCTGATGATTAGGACAACCAGATCCCACCTGGCCAATCCTTTAGTTGGAGTCCCAGACCTGGCTACGTGAGGAACATGTTGGACGTATGTGAGTGCAGGTCTAAAATCCCAACAGGATGGAGAAATGAAGACGGACTGCAGTGTGACCATTCCCCATGGGAAACACTTTCTGCCTCTCCCTCTCTCTCTGTTTTTCTCTGGTGAGCACATGTGCCCTCTGGTAAATTTAAAAAATGTATGTATGTATGCGTGCGCATTTTCACGCACGCATACATACATACATACATACATATAATAGGAATATCATAGGGGAGGACAGGGATAGAGCAATAAGCATTCAGGATGATTGGTCATGGGGCCAGCAAGTGGCATGGTGGTTAAGGTGCTGGACTCCCACATGGTCAACCATGGTTCAAGTCCCAGACTTGGCAGTTTGCTTTCTCACTTTCTTGCACTCTCTCACTCTGTCTCTCTCTGGTAAGCACACACCCCTACAGCAATTTTAAAAAATAATAATAAATAAAATTAAATAAATTTTAAAAATGACTGCTCATAAGGGTCTCAAGGAAAATTAGATTCTGAATTAAGCAATCATAAACCTCACAAAAGAATTTCTAGAAAGAAGCATAAGGGGAGGCAGAAAGTCTTCAATTTTATTTCAGCTGTTTTAAAATTTGATTTGTGCCTGTTTCAACACCTATTTTCCTCAAGAAAGACGACATTACTTCAGAGTTAAAAAAAAGTTGCTTCCTCCAAAAACAGCAGCCAGAGGGAAAAGACAGATGTTTGAGATGTCAGTTTGTTTGTTTGTTTTTTTAGTCAGTAGAAAACATCACTTTTGAAGGGAGAGAAAAATCCCAGAATCTCTTTCCATAAGGTCTGGTTCTTTCTCCACCCCTTTTTTAGGCTGGTTCTCTTTATTCTAGAATGGCTGGCTTGGATGGGGAAAGGAAATAAAGATCATACGTCTCAGTTTAGGGAGCCAACTCAATGGTGGCAAGTAAGAGTGTATGAGGAGAATGTGAGCAAGACATGACTCCTCCAAGGCAAGTAGCACCCCTTATATGTTTCCATAACCCCAGGATACAGAAGAGCACTTAACAGATGCTGTGTAGAGGTCGAAGGAGGCTGAGGGCCAGCCAAGGTGGTGCAGGAGTAGCACAACACTCTGCAGTACTGGAAACCATATAGAGGACTGAGGTTCAATTCCTAGGTTAATGTGTAGGTGCTGGGGGCACACAGGTGGCTGTGATTGGATAGGCTGGGAGGCTGGGGGGTGGGGAGCATTGCAGCATGAGACCCTGATGGCAATACTTGCATTTCTCAAGGAATGAAGGAAGGAAGGGAGGAAGGAAGTCAGAAATACTGTGTTATGGAAGTCATGACACATTCTTGCATAGAAAAACAGAAAAAAAGTCATGACTTTCCCAACCATCTAATAGAAATAAAATTTTAAAAAAGAAAGGAAGAAAAAGAATGAGTCCTTAGAGGAAATAAATCTGAGTATGAGCGCTATTGATAGGCTAGGAGCAATTCCTTCTTACCAGTCACATTCTATACAGCTCAATTCTATGTGACTGAAGGGATAGCATATCTTATGTCAAAATATTTTTATATCCCAGATGCTAATCCCTTAAGGCAATCTTGCTACTACAAAAAAGACTAGTTCAAAAAGACTCTGAGTAAAGAAACTTGTACCACTTACTGGCTAGGGACTTGGGCAAGTCCTTTATTCCATTTTGCCTCTTACTCTTAATTTATTCTTACTACTCTATTTTTTAATTCTCATGCAGTATCAAAAATGTTTGCTTGGGGCCGGCAGGTGGTGTGGTGGTTAAAGGTGCTGGATTCCCACATGGCTGACCGTGGTTTGAGTCCTGGACTTGGCGGCTCTCTCTCACTCTCTCTCGCTCTCTCTCTCTCTTTCTCTCTCTCTCTCTCTCTCTCTGTCCCTCTCTGGTCAAATTGAAATAAACAAAGGAAAAATAAAATTAAATAAAATAATTCTTTAAAAAAATGTTTGCTCACAAAGATGATCACTTCCTACCCTTAACAGCTCATCCAGAAGTGAAATCCTGAAATGAATGTGTTTATTTAATCTAGCACCCCGGGCATGGTGTGTATAGCTTCTAGATGCCATAGCCTCAATATATGATGCATGGATAGAGAAATGACAGCTGTAAACAGGGGGATATGGAGAGGCATGGATGGATTGTCCCTCAGATACATATTGTATCTGTCAAGTGGAAATTGATTTCCCTGAGTAATGAGCACACACATGATCTAAATGATGTTCTCCTACTGCCAGATGTCATGAACCATTTTAAAATTTTTATCTTTTTTTTTTTTTTTTCACCAGGAGACACATTCACATGTTTATTGTCTGGGAAATGGGCCAATAAAATTTAGAAATGCTGACTTCTAGTCAAGTGTTTTGGGCTCACCATAGCAAAATTTAGAAATGCTGACTTCTAGTCAAGTGGGCTCACCATAGAAAGTTAATAAAGTCAGTCAGCTTTGAACTGGTTTAAAAAGTGATTGTTAGAGGCCAGCAGGTGGCATGGTGGGTAAGGCACTGTACTCCCACATAGCCAATGGCGGTTCAAGTCCTGGACCTGGTGGCTTGAAATTCACACTGGGCATGTGTGCATGTGTGCACAAAGTCCCAGGAGGAAAATGGAAGAGAAGGGACTGTGGCATGGCCACCTCTACTGGAGGATGATTTCTTACCTTCCTCTGTCTCTGTGTCTCTCTGGTGACCGCATGTGCACTATGGCAAAAAGTTAAAGACTTAAGAAAGAAGCAAATGTTAATAAAATAGGGATCCAACTCCCTTGTCATCCACCTCAGAGGTGTTAATAAGGAATTTTAATTTCCATAGGCAGTAACACAAAGCCTGACTACAGTAACTTAAGAGTTTTATTTTGCACACATAATAAAAAGATTAAAAGATGTACAGCATTACT